CATTAATAACAGGATTGGGAGGATTATTACCCGCTGACACTCTGCTGACACTCGGCATTAATACAGGAGTGGGAGGATTATTACCCGCTGACACTCTGCATTAATAACAGGATTGGGAGGATTATTACCCGCTGACACTCTGCATTAATAACAGGATTGGAGGATTATTACCCGCTGACACTCTGCATTAATAACAGGATTGGGAGGATTATTACCCGCTGACACTCTGCATTAATAACAGGATTGGGAGGATTATTACCCGCTGACACCTGCATTAATAACAGGATTGGGAGGATTATTACCCGCTGACACTCTGCATTAATAACAGGATTGGGAGGATTATTACCCGCTGACACTCTGCATTAATACAGGATTGGGAGGATTATTACCCGCTGACACTCTGCATTAATAACAGGATTGGGAGGATTATTACCCGCTGACACTCTGCATTAATAACAGGATTGGGAGGATTATTACCCGCTGACACTCTGCATTAATACCAGGATTGGGAGGATTATTACCCGCTGACACTCTGCATTAATAACCAGGATTGGGAGGATTATTACCCGCTGACACTCTGCATTAATACCAGGATTGGGAGGATTATTACCCGCTGACACTCTGCATTAATAACAGGATTGGGAGGATTATTACCCGCTGACACTCTGCATTAATAACAGGATTGGGAGGATTATTACCCGCTGACACTCTGCATTAATACAGGATTGGGAGGATTATTACCCGCTGACACTCTGCATTAATAACAGGAGTGGGAGGATTATTACCCGCTGACACTCTGCATTAATAACAGGATTGGGAGGATTATTACCCGCTGACACTCTGCATTAATAACAGGGATTGGGAGGATTATTACCCGCTGACACTCTGCATTAATAACAGGATTGGGAGGATTATTACCCGCTGACACTCTGCATTAATAACAGGATTGGGAGGATTATTACCCGCTGACACTCTGCATTAATAACAGGATTGGGAGGATTATTACCCGCTGACACTCTGCATTAATAACAGGATTGGGAGGATTATTACCCGCTGACACTCTGCATTAATAATAGGATTGGGAGGATTATTACCCGCTGACACTCTGCATTAAATAACAGGATTGGGAGGATTATTACCCGCTGACACTCTGCATTAATAACAGGATTGGGAGGATTATTACCCGCTGACACTCTGCATTAATACTGGGAGTGGGAGGATTATTACCCGCTGACACTCTGCATTAATACTGGGAGTGGGAGGATTATTACCCGCTGAATACGCTGCCAATACTCGGGACTCAGGGAAAGTACCTGCTGCTATACTGCCCATACTGCGGGCCCAGGAGTGCTTGTGTGCTGTGGCTGGGGAATCAGGACTGGTACCTGCTGTTAGGACCCTCTGCTGTGTGCTGAGGAGGGTCACCCCCCTGGCTATCATCTGCTGTGAACCCAGGCACCCCTGCCGGAGCCGTATGTGTATGCACCCCTATTTTATTCCCCTGGACTGTTCCTGGACCCTCTTCCCCTTCCTCTTTCCTGCTTGGATTACAAACTGTTATAGAGACTCTAACTTTGCTCCCCTTGGGCTGGATTACAATTACTTTGGGCCCCCTCCCTGCTATTCCCCTACACTGGGTACTGCCACAATACCTGCAGACCCCAATTGAGTGACTGTCATCCTTTTAATAAAGCTTTGTGTGTTTATCATCTGCTCTGTGTTCTGTCCTGCCTACCCCCCGTCACAGTTCTCATCCAAGATTTCACAATACATGGCCCCGTCTATTGGCCCCTCAATGTGGCAATGTCAGCCTGAACCTTTAGTAGAGAAACAGCCCCAAAGCAGAATGTGTCCACCTCCGGGCTTGACTGTAGGGATGGTGTTCTTGGGGTCATAGTCAGCATTTTACTTCCTTCCAACACGATGAGTCAAGTTAATGCCGTAGAGATCAATTTTGGTCTCATCTGACCACAGCAGCCTCTCCCAATCCTTCTCTGAATCATTTAGATGTTCATTGGCAGACGTCAGACAGTCCTGTACATGTACCTTCCTGAGGAGTGGGACCTTACGGGCACTGCAGGATTTCAGTCCAAGGCAGCGGATTGTATTACCAATGGTTTGGTGACTGTGGTCCCAACTGCCTTGACATCATTCACAAGCTCCTCCCATGTAGTTCTGGGCTGATCCCTCACTTTTCTTATGATCATCTTTACCCCATGAGGTGACATTCTGCATGGAGCTCCAGACCAAGGAGGGCGATTGGTGGTTACTTTGTATTTCTTCCATTTGTGAATAATCAATCCAACAGTTGTCTCCTCACCAAGCTTCTTGCTGGTGGTCTTGTAGTCCATTCCAGCCTTGTGCAGGTCTACAATCATGTCCCTGACATCCTTTGACAGCTCTTTGGTCTTGCCCATGGTGGTGCCCAAGAAAGAGATTCTGTGGAAGGTGTCTTTTATACACATAATGAGTTGTCATTAGGAGCACCTTCTTATATTGACAGGACTGATCTGTGACCACATGAGCACCTAGCCAGTCTGTGGGAGCCAGAATCATTGTTGGTTGGTGGGGGATCAAATACTTATTTTACTCACTGAACTGCAACTCCATTTATAACATTTGTATTGTGTTTTTTCTGGATTTTTCTGTCTCTATCATTTAAAATGCACTTATGATAAAAATGATAGACCCTTCATTTCCCTGTAAGTGAGCAACCGTTCACAATCTGCAGGGGAGCAAATCATTATTGTCTCCACTATATACTCTATGTTGTACATGACATACTCCTGACCCCTGCACTATATACTCTGTTGTACATTACATACTCCTGACCCCTGCACTATATACTCTGTGTTGTACATTACATACTCCTGACCCCTGCACTATATACTCTATGCTGTACATTACATACTCCTGACCCCTGCACTATATACTCTATGTTGTACATGTTTACATTATCTGACTGTATAGTCCTAACTTTTGTTTCCGATATAATAAGTTGTACATTACATTGGCATTACTTCTTTTGCTCCCATTTCGATATAATAAGTTGTACATTACATTGGTTTTACTTCTTTTGCTCCCATTCTCCAGCTGGACATTTTATATCGGATGATGTGATTGGAGCACAGACTTTTACATGGTGATAATAATGTGATAACGTCCTCCAACTTTGGACCCTTAAACAGAAAGTGATAATGAGGGAGGAGTCAATACCCCAATGATGGTGGTCTTCAGGATCAGTCCAGTCTTCATCTTGGTTGTTCTCCCCCCATCCTCACTCTCTGACCTCTGGTGGGGCTCAGCCCCGCTGTTCTTCATGACTAAATCATGGACTAAATAAGGAAGTGCAGTACTTCTTGTTTTGGGAAGATGGTGATGAGTGATAGAGGGGGTGGGGACCCTCGTCCTATAATCCCCTCATCACTGTCCCTCCTATAAAAGACAGTTCTGGTTGTTTCCTCACTCTCTGACTAAGGTCCATGAATAAAGAAATGACCTGGTAGGAGATCAGAGGAGCCATTTCCTAGTTCCCTTGAGGGTGGAATTGTAAGCTCCTCAGAGACCAAGCTGCCTGATGTGGGCGGAGTCCTGGTTTGGGGGAACCAATCAGCTCCTGTCTAGTAATCCTCTTTGTCTTTTTGTATTTTAGTCCATGGCCGGGAGATGAGGAAAACCTCCGAGGATTGTCTCACTTTGTCTCCAGACTGGAAAGTAGAAGATGAGGACATCACACAGTATAGTCCAGGAGAAAACCCGGCTCCCTCCAATGTCCATCCGGCACCACCCAGTGTAGATGGACCATCGGATTCCTCGTATCCTGAGGAACCTCAGACTGTGCGGGACCGGGCCGGCCTTCCAACAGAGAAGAGGTTCTCCTGTACAGAGTGCAGGAAATTTTTCCCTTCTAAATTCCATCTTAATGAGCATAAAAGATCTCACACAGGTGAAAAACCATATTTCTGTCATGTGTGCGGGAAATGTTTTTCACAAAAGTCTAATCTTAAAACACACCAAAGGCTTCACACAGCTGAGAAGCCATATTCCTGTCCTGAGTGCGGGAAATGTTTCCATTATAAATCCAAACTTGATGATCATAAAAAGATCTCACACAGGAGAGAAGCCACATTCTTGCCCTGAGTGTGGGAAATGTTTTTCAGCTAAGTCCAATCTTTACACACATCAGAGATCTCACACAGGAGGAGAAGCCGTATTCATGTCCTGAGTGCGGGAGATGTTTTTCAGAGAAGTCCAATCTTCACAAACATCTGAGATCTCACACAAGGGAAAAGCCATTTTCCTGTTTTGAGTGTGGGAAATGTTTTTCAGTGAAGTCCAGTCTTCACAACCATGAGAGAATGCACACTGGGGAGACGCCGTTTTCCTGTTCTGAGTGTGGGAAATGTTTTTCACTGAAGTCCAGTCTTCACAAACATCTGAGAATGCACACAGGGGAGAATCCGTTTTCTTGTCTTGAGTGCGGGAAATGTTTTTCACAGCAGTCCAGTCTTTGCAGACATCAGAGATCTCACACGGGGAAGATGCCATTTTCCTGTTCTGAGTGTGGGAAATGTTTTGTACAAAAATCAGATCTTGTCAAACATCAGAGGTCTCACACGGGTGAAAAACCATACTCATGTCCTGAGTGCGGGAAATGTTTTTCAGCTAAGTCTAGTATTTATAATCATCAGAGACTGCACAAGGGAATGAAGCCATATTCCTGCTCTGAGTGTGGGAAATGTTTTGTACAAAAATCAAAACTTGTTGTACATCAAAGAGGTCACACAGGGGAAAAGCCGTATTCCTGTCCTGAGTGTGGGAAATGTTTTTCAGACAAGTCTATTCTTTACAGACATCAGAGATCTCACGCTGGGGAGAAGCCACTTTCCTGTCCTGAGTGCGGAAAATGTTTTGTATACAAATCAGGACTTGTTATACATCAGAGATGTCACACAGGGGAAAAGCCGTATTCCTGTCCTGAGTGCGGGAAATGTTTTTCAGACAAGTCCAGTTTTTACAGACATCAGAGATCTCACACGGGGAAGAAGCCACTTTCCTGTCCTAAGTGAGGGAAATGTTTTTCAGACAGTCCAGTGTTTACAACAGCAGAGGTCTCACACGGGGAGAAACCATTTTCCTGTCCTGAGTGAGGGAAATGTTCCTCACTGAAGTCCTGTCTTCTGTACATCAGGGGTCCCACACAACCCTGGAGGTGTATTAGTGCCTTGAGTGCGGGAAATGTCTTCTAGATGAATGTTGCTGGACATCCCAGCTCTCATGTGGGGAAGAAGCACACACCCTGATATACACCTCAGATATACTCCATGGCTGATCTTCATCATGGAAGAAACAGTCCATAAGGAGATCAGAGGCCCCCAAAGACATGGATGAAGTGTGGGACCGGGTTGGCCATTGATGGCAGAGAAGAATAAAAATGGAGTCAATGTTCTAGCAGAAGCTCTCACAAACACTTGGAGGTCTGATGGAGGTGTGGAAGTGTGAGGTCCTGCCACTGTGACAATGACACAGGGTCCTCCTGGCTGCTGTTTGAGAAGCTCCAACATGTATTTTGTGAGCAGAGAAAACTGTGTTCTAGGTTGTCAATGGATTTGGTAGTTCCGGGTCGGGACCTGGAGCTTGAAGGTTCCAGAGATTCTTGGTGGGGACAAGACCTTCAGTCCCATGTCCAGGCTTTGCTAGATGCCTGCAGCCTGTGTGAGTACATAGGTGGGCAGGATCATTATAGGCCAGGTCTTCTGCCATTTGGAGACAGGACCCTGTCAGGAGAGCTGGGGGTTCCTGATGGAGACTGCATCCCTTGTGAGGTGGGATTCCTTGCCCAAGGACTGGGAAAGTCAGGACAGCTCCAAGAGTCTGGGGGACCTGAAGTGGCTTGTGAGTCCAGGGGGCTGGAGGGAGTCCAGGGGGGTGGAGGGAGTCCAGGGGGGTGGAGGGAGTCCTGAAGTTAATGGAGGAATGATCAAGCTTGAGGGGGGGTGGGGAACCCTATGTAGAGGCCAGGAGTGGACCTGTGTAGTGAGGTGCTGTAACCAAGGCTGAGTAATCCTGAAGAAGTCCTAGTCTGGGGGACCAGTGTACAGATCAGTGGTGCTGCTGAAGTGTAGCCAGGTGAGCTAGCATTTTCAGTGATCTGATGTATTGACAAAGCTGGACAATCCCCTGCGTGGGAAACCTTATGGTGTAAAGACTTTCATTTTCCTTCTTAATAAAAGTGGGCTGCCGTGCCGATAAACCGCAAGTCTTGACTGACGTGGACTCACTTACAAACATCTACCACAGGAGCTAACAAACCCCCATATCACAGAGGGATTTCAGGAAAATACTGCATTGAGGCCACTAGATGGAGCTGACCATCATAGGAAATCATTGTGTAAAATAAATGATGGCCACAATGTATCTCGGCGGGGGAAATGCTCCTCACATTTGTCCAACTAACTTTCACTTGCAAGTAAGTTTTTATTATTAAAGTTTTGTAGGATACATTGTGCAACTCGTACAAATGTTCAGAAGTAACCAACCCATGAAAACAATTCCAGCGTGCATCCGTAAATCATACAAAGAGAATACAAGTGATGGATATAAAGATCAATGAGCGCGGCGTGTTACAAGATCGGGTTTACAGTAACCATACACATTGTAAGAATGGCAACAAGAGGATAATTAGGGAAGGAGAAGAGAATAAAATGAGGGGGAGGGGAAATCTTGAGTTAGCCATAATTTGGGAGACACTCTTGGACTGGGTGTGAGAGTCGGGTCCTGCACAGAGGATAGGCAAGATACCCAGTAACCAAGGCCTCCCAGGTCAGGGGGCCGAGAGAAAAGGAAGAGGGAAGGAAATAGAACAAGTGGTAAGAAAAAGGAGAACAGATGGAGGACATCGGGGACCCCCTTACCAGAAACCTGGGGCCTCAATGCCTATAGCAGTGTGTAGGTGTCAGGGGACATGGGGGGGTGAGTGTAATGTATACACGGGGCCCAGGTTTTTTTAAGAATTTCTTAATAGACATCTTTCTTAAAAAGACACATCTATACTAAGATGGACTTCCACGAGGGGGCCAAGCTCTTGTTTCCAAGCCTTTGTTTTGCGCTAGTAGAACATTTATAGCCAATTTTAAATTGGGAACTCGTGAGGTCTGGGGGGCTTCAAATGCCATAAGATGTACCAAGGATTCCTGGGAAAGTGGCAAATATTAACATTTGTAACTGTTTTAGGACCTTTGTTTTAGGATGGAGCATAACCAAAAGATGACAGAGAGTGTCCAAGTGGGGGATATGAAGTTGCTGGTATTTATTAGAGATAGGGCAAAGATGTGCAGACGGGTTGGGACATAGACCATCCTGGAGGATGGATAGAGCCCAAATCTAGAGTAAGAGTGTTGATAGAGCAGGAGCCGCCATGGGAGTGAATCTGATCCAGTTTGAGTCCCTAGTGCAATGCTTTAAGTCATGTTCCCCCTTATGGACATAGGCGTGGCCTCTGGACTTTTCTTGGTCTAATGGTTTTTATTATATTTTCAGTAGAAGGTGTAAATAATCCAATAGGAACACACATGTAGAAAGCCGGGCACATTAGTCTCATATCAGAATACAACCATCAAATAAAAAAAGGGTGACGTGTTTCTCAACAGTCACTATTTCCTTCAAACACAGAAAAAATGTCTCCAACCTTTTACAGTGAGGATTTATAAGTGTAGACCTGATCAAACCCTAACCCCACCAATGATGTTCACAAGATGGGGGACAATGGGGTGGTACAGCTGATAGTACTGGGGCAAAAGCCATCCATTGTGGGCCCAGTGTATGCAGAGTAGACCAGAAACATCACTACTAGTTCCTGTAAGCCTGCACTACTCCCCTACAATGCAGATATCATGGAGACTCATATTCAAATCTACCTCCCAACAGGAGGCCTGGGGGGGCCGGGACTCTAGGACTTCTAAGATTGTTCAGTTGTGAATAGATCATTGAGATAAGTTTGGGGGCAAGAGATGCGTTGGCAGATATGTTCATACAAGGAGAGTTGAGTCCAAAGATCTGTGTTAGGATTAATTATGGTAGTCTACCAGTGTTTAATTCAGAGGAACAAAAAAATCTCAGTGGGCGGGGCTTGGTATTTTTTTCTAAATTTCCTTCTGGGTGTATACAGAGCAACCAGCAATGAATGAGTAAATGTAATGGAAGTTGTGGGAAGCCCACCTGTGAAATGTGATGAGATTTCTAAACCCTGAGGAAATATTGGAGCGCCCAAAAGAGAACAGAGAGCCAAGTGAGGGGATATGAAGTTGCTGGAATTTTTATTTATCAGAGTTCCTGGTGCAGAGTGTGTGACCCATCAAGAGGCTGATAGACGTAGGTCTGGATTTAGGAGGCCCGCCATGGGAGTGAATGGTGAGAAGTTTGAGAACAGAGCAATGCTTCTAAGTCAGCCCATAAGGAGCCATTTATTGTGGTGTCCTTGGGGGTTAGTGGGTAATCTGGGCACCAAGAAATATTTAGTAACATTTGGAACACCCAAACCTCCTTGTTCCTTATGTATATACATAGCATGTCTTGGGATTCGTGGCCCTTTGTCTGCTCAGTTGAATCACAAGACCTGATTTTAAAAAGATTTCAGAGTATAGGAGGAGATGGGGATCGGTGGGGGTGGGGATGGGGAAGAGTACAGGACAAGTAAAGGAGTTTTGGTAAAATTGCCAATTTTCCATCACTGATCCTCCCTATCCAGGAGAGGTGAAGATGAGTCCAGGACAGAAGTAGGACTCTCAAGTATTTGAAAGTGGGGAAGTAGTTGGCCTCATGGAGTGTGTTGTACGAGCGAGGGAGATGAATGCCCAAATAATCCAGGTAGGAGGTGGGCCAAGGAAACTATCATTCTGTTTTACAGAGGAAAGGGAAATGTATGGAGTACAGAGAATAGGACTGGCAGGGAGGTGTTGGGTTGGACCAAAGTAAGTAAAAGATCATCAGCAAACAATCTGACTTTACCCAGTTCAGGACCGACCACCACACTTATACTGCGGCAGGGCAGCCCCTCTGTTCCAGATCACATACAGTACATGTACACGTGTGAGCCCACCGCCCTGACTGTGCTGTCATTCAGTACACACAAGCCGATTATCAGGTCCAGGCCAATGATTTTTCTGACCTGGACCTGCTGATCACCTGGACCTGCTGATCACCTGGACCTGCTGATCACCTGTACAGAATCAGAGATCATTCTGTGTCCATATTTATAAACACAGGAACTGGAAAGGTACACTAGTGAAGAGGAGCACAAATAATACAAAGTATTCCCACAAGCAGCTAAAAAAGGTGATCAATAATCAATAAACCAACTTAACAGTGAATTCAACTAAAACAACGCTGCCCACACCTAAACATACTCATATAAATGTGCAAAAATGTCAATAAATAGAAATACAGCGCCGCAGCTTTCCTTAACCACTTTAAGTCCCCCCTATAATAGAAATACTGCCACAGGGCGGACTCCCTGCACAAAATCATGTATATATATATATATATGTGATTTGCGCTCCCGCAGTTGCCAGGGGGGCACATGTGCACACACCAACCTGCCGTTGCGTGATTCAGTTCCTGACCGATCAATCATCATGTTCAGGCCAGTGATGTTCGGATCTGATGATCGATCCCTGCCCTATCAGAGATCTTCCTGTAGATGTGTTTCCATTACACAGGTACAGGAAATGATGACATCTTCTCTCTCTGAGCACATTCCGTCCCAGAGAGAGAAGAAAGCAGATCCATGTGAGTAAAAGCACTACACACACAGTAAAATCACATTTAGGACACATTTAACCCCTTGATCACCCCCCAGTTAACCCCTTGCTGCCCTGTCACCAGTGTCATTAGTACAGTGTACAGATTTTTTGCTGATCACTGTATTAGTGTCACCAGCGACTTCAGATAGCATTAGTGTCAGTTAGCGTCCCTCCCAGATAGCGTCAGATTGCCCGTCAGTACATCAGTCATCACATTTAACCCCTTGATTGCCAGGAACACGCTCATACACAATAAACCTCCATTGCTA